AACACAAAAACAAAAAAATAAACAAAAAACAAATAAATAAAAAAAACATAATTGCAGGAATAATACTTGGCATGCACTTGCTCAAAACATGTATTCGCGGTAGAACTCAAATTTTCATTTTGTCGATTTTGAGCAGACTCGTTCTTTAAAGTTCATAGCCGATTTCAAAATGCATCATTAACCTCGACCTCGTGACATCCTGTATTATTTCATGTCTTTGTTTCAATTTTGGGAACAATATAAATATGCAATCCGCGGAATAGAAAAGTGCAAATCTGGTGATTTGGTTTTATTACCAAGTCTAAGTTGTTGTTTGAAGGCTTTGGTGGCATTCCGCCTTTACAAATAAGACAGACCGCAGGTGAACCTTCATACATTGTTTTAAGCAGATTTGTCTGTTCCTTTCAAGTGTTAAAGTTTCTCACCTCATCTATGATCACTCTGTAAAATGTCAGTTGTCTGCTTAACCAGACAACATGTCAATCACAGACTTTCCCAGTTCTCTTCATGTTCATCACTGCCAACTCCTGACAAGATAACAACGCTTGGGCACGACGATACTTGTGTAAGTATCTAAAGGCCATCAAGGAACCGATGATGAATCATTTCATTCAAGGCATAGTCTAACCCCCCCCCCCCAAAAAAAAATACCCTCCCAAAAATATCAACAACAAGTGAAACTTGTATGAAATAATTTAAAGAGCAAAGAAGTAAAATAAACGAGTAACCAACAAAACGGAGTCTAGTAAAGCTCAATGTGATGCATGCTTGCATTGTTCTAAACGTGAACAAAAGTTTTCATTTTTCGCTGCAAATCATATAATACAACCCTTATAATATGTAACAAGTTAGAATTATTATTGAAGCAAGCGTGAATACCCAATGTATATTAAAATGCTTAAAATGTCACGTTTTTCCCCGTTTTTATTGACCTTATGTTTGGCTGTGTACACTTTCCTTTTAAACTGGCCAATGTAACACGTTGATTGATCAGTGTCAAAATGTATCCAACAGTCTGGTAAGTATACATGTACAAGAGAAGTAACGTTTCATTAAAGATTCGATATTGTGGTTTATAATGCCCTTTTTAGTGTAGTTCACTTCAATCTGCTTCTGATAGAGAGACGGCTAGCGTTATAACAGCAGAATTGTTGTCATAAGTCGAGATAAAGGCTTTCATGTACTTTAATTAGTGTATGTATCTTTATACATGATATATACCTTTGCTCGGACCTATAAAATTAACTTGGTTTGTGATTTAAGTATTAGACACTTAATTTAAAGAAAAAATGCAGCTGTAACGTCCATTCAATAATCTTAATCATAATTGTAAGAGCTGTTCAGTATGACAATTGGACAAATAATAATAATAATAATTAATGCAAATAAATAAAAAAAAGAGCAAAAAGGTTAGGCAATGTTTCTAGCATGCAGTTCCCGACACAGCCCTACAACACCAGCACGGCACTTAGAAGGCACTGCAAACAATTTTAGAACCTTGTTTTGCCTGCATTTAATGTATCAGATCATCTTCCTAGTCATTAACGTTGAAATTCATTTTACAACAGTATTTTATCTCGCCAAATTTTAGGTGCATCGCTCGCAACTTAATTCGAAATGTTCGTGTCAGATTTTAATTTTGAGTTTTGACACTATTGTCATTGTTTTTCCAGTCGTCTATTTAGTAATATACTACCTTTAAAATTAATAGTGAGCTCTATATTTGCATAATTATTGTGACAGATAATGATGCTATAACATGCAAGATTCGTGTATTTAAATGTTATACTTGTTAAAATGTAGTAGTCTGGCAGATGTTGTGAATCTATATGAAAATTGGGAGATTGTAAAGTTTTGCAATGATAAAGAATATGATTCATTTGACTGAAAGTTTCTTTCTAAAATTTTAAATAGCTTTTCAGACAGATTTACTAAAACCTATCTCCTATTGAACTAATATATGAAACGGAAGTTGTCATCAGATGTTCCATCATCAGCCAATCTGACTAAAGTTCAGATCTACTTAAATTATGTTTTTTTATGTAGATTTATTGACGATCGTATATGTTTCGCTTTCTTTATTATTCGGATTTCTCGAGAAAGCTATTTTAAGTCATGCAATCAAACCGGTTTTTACACAGGCATTAGAAGAAGCATCAAAATACCGTTATTCGTAGAAGTAAAACAAATTGTTGATTTTTGTTAGAAAAAAAGATGTTTGAATTAATTTTAAAAAAGATTAACTCAATTTTAACGGCCAATATTGTTTTGCCAGTTTAGCTGTTGGCTTTGTATATGGACAGTGCCATGTTTGTTTTCGAAATCGTGAAATGTTAAAATTAGAAACCACATCGCTTTCAAATTTATGAAAGCTGGCCGACGATTGACTGTGTCAATGGTCACCAGAATTGACCTCGTGTTTGGTCGCGGTCAGATCTAAAAGCGGAGCTTTATTTAGAGCTGATTTTAATCAGATATATTAAAGAAATATATCGGTCTTAGCGGTGTTTATCGGCTTTTTAACACCGGTTTGTAGTTTTGATGCGTAGGAATTGACCACGTAGGTTGTAGGCCTGAGTGGTAAAGTTTTTCGCATTTAAACGACAAAATCGAATTATTTCGATTCTAACAAGATAAAATAAGGAAGATCACTTATGTTATTTTTCAAGCGGATATAACTTTCGGTGCCTATTTTCGTATAACGCTGTTCGATTTCGAACCCTACTGTTGCTTAAATATAGAAATTAACAACAGAAATAGTTAGAAAAAAAGTTATTTTTATCAAGTTTTCAACAACAAAAACTTACGTCTCAGACTGGATTATATTGTGTATAAAAATCATTCTTGTATGTTTGAAATGACGTCAGTCTAGCGCGTTTACGAATGAGTGGTATACTTAGGATGACGTTATTATGCTGCTTACGGATTTGTCAATTTTTTTATATTATTAAGCTGATCACGATATGGATCAAATCTGTGGCGTTAGTGTATGTGAGATATTATTTTAGTATTGCATGAAAAGAAAACATTTTAAGAACTGAAAATATCAATAAAAATGTTTTTATTGTTGCATTAAAAGGCTTTGTTAACTATATAATCGAGGAAGAAAACAGAAACAGCTGCACAAACAACTAGTCCCTAACCAGTTTTAACTGGCACTTTAACATCGATTTTTTTCTTCTTTGTGTATAGTAACAAATTCACAAGGAGTGTTAAAATTAAAGTAAATATCGCGTTACATAACGTTCTCATTTGAGTGTATACAAAATGTATTTCGATTGTTGATGATTTACTTTTTGTATACCATGGTTTATGTATTCATGCTTTTTATATAATGTTTGTATTGTAATGATTTTAGCCAGATTAATGATGCACATTTTGCAATTTCGGACGATAATTCCGATAAAAAAATTAGAAATATACATTGCTAATGCACTTAAAAACTGAATCATACACGCTTTTTCATTCAATCGGTCGTTTGAAAAGATTAATTTTAATCAAGTAACTGGAAAATCAGGTAATATTAATACTATGACATGACAGCAATGATGCCCATAAATCATGAGTCGATTAAACACAAAGACATGAATCAAGAACTTGCATATGTTTAAATTAACTACATATTTCTCTGGTTCTACATTGAACTTCAGATGTGAGATTAAAGACACGCATATATCCTGTTCTGTTATTCTCTTCTGATACTTTTATTTTCTGATAAGAATGGAACAGACAGATATAATTTTTCGTGTCGTTCTTGTATAATATTTAGGGGCATCCGTGGCCGATTGGTTAAAGTCGTTGACTTCAAACTATTTGCCCCTCACCGCTGTGGGTTCGAATCCCGACAGGGTTTTTGGATTTTTTCATGTGAGGAGGCTTTCCACCAGAAAAGCTGGAACATTGCCAAATGACCTATACTGTGTTGGTGTGACGTAAAACCCAAACAAACAAAGAAAAATTGTATAATATTTATGTTTAAAATGTCTATTGCACTGTTGCATGCCTCCATGAACAAGGAAATACATATGAGAATATCCACAGTCATTAATTGGACATTGGAAAAAATCTTAGGAAATATATATTTTATGACCACAAGGAAATAAAGTAACCAAGAAGAAAATTGTATCTTAATTGAATGTCAAATTCAATAAAACAATTATTGTATAATTGTAGATACAAAATGGCTTGTGATATAATTACCGAAGAAGAATACTCCCAGCTAAATCGTGGTAAGATATAATTTTCCATAAAACCTACGGCATATTTGATATTCAGTGACAGAAGAGTATAATTGTTTGGGAGTTACATCTTATTGTTTCAAATGTTCAAATGAAAATTGTACTTTTGTTTAGTAAAGGGAATGTATCTAAGAAATATCTGGTTTTCATATCATTCTAGGTTTTTTTAAAAGTATTATATCATAAAACATTATTGTTGGAATTTTACTGATGGTAGTATTTAACATATTACCACTTCAATAGAATACTTATTAACATGTTAAACCTTTCCCCTTTGTATTTGAACTTCTATACCTGATCCTCTATTTTCTGATCTAACCGGACCGTAAACGTTTTATTGTTATTTCAATGACATCGCTTCTAAAAGGGCAATTTGAACTTCGATATTTACGCTTGTCACCGTAACAAGATGGTTTGACCATATGTGAAATTCAATGTAATCAACAGATAAATTTACACCACAGCATGAACCTACATTTTAAATCTTTCTTTTAAACGTCTTCTTACCAAAATATAATCTGTTACTTTTATTTTACTCTTATTCTAAATCATTACAACGTTTTGTTCTAAAGTAAGTCGATGACTATGATAACACCATTTGTAGTAGAATATTGAAATGCTACACTTATTGCTTCATACTCAATTAACTCAATTTAACGTGTCTATGCCTTGCAATTTAAATTTTGACAATAGAAAATTACTGACGCGGTCCAAGATATTTCAATCGATACAGACAGTTTTGTTAAACCCAAAAAACTTCACTTGCTACATAAGTATTTGTTAAACATTTGTGATCATTGTTACAGAATTCTGGAATAAAATATTCTAAAATGTTTGGAATAGTTGATTTTATAATTTTCTTTTTAACAATATTCGTTTCATTTTGTATCGGACTGTTCTTTGCTGTCTGGGAAAGGAATAGAAATACAACCGTTGACTATTTTCTGGCTGGTCGAAAGTCGAGTACACTTCCAGTAGCACTTTCTTTTGTCGTAAGTTTCCAGTCGTCATTACTCGTATTAGGATTTCCAGCTGAAGGATATGCATACGGTGTTGGAATTGCTTATTATGCAGTCGGAATATTCATTGCCTATTCGGTTGCCGCTGTTGTTATTGTTCCTGTATTTTATCCTTTAAAGCTTCTAAGTGTTTATGAATATTTTAATTTACGTTACGGTAACAATATACTACGTTACCTGACGCTGGCATTTGGAATGGTCTATACAATTTTTTACATGGCAACAGTTACTGTTGGAACATGCGTTGCTTTGCAAGTTGTAATGGGAATTCCACCATGGGGTACAATTCTTTTGTACACAATGGTAACAGCAGTTTATACTTCGATTGGCGGAATCAAAGCCGTAATATGGACGGATGTGTTTCAATTGATAATAATGCTCGCTGGAATGATTGCGGTTTTAGTAAAATCTACAATTGACACCGGCGGTTCAGAAAGTGTCATGAAATATGCAAAAGAGAGATTTGATGCCACAGATTTTCGATTTGACCCGACTATACGGTATCAGTTTTGGAACGTATCTGTTGGAACCATATCTGCGGTCTTGTATATGACATTAACTCAGCCGGCAATGCAAAGAGTCTACTGTGTTTCCAGTGCAAAACAAGCCAGCATTCTTTATTTCGTAGCTACACCATTTTACATCTTACTTACTTTAATTGCAGTGTTTGAAGGACCTGTATTATTCGGCTATTTCTCCGGAAAAGGTTGCGATGTTTTGGAAGCAGGTATTATAAACAACATGAATGCAATTGTACCCTTTGCTGTTTTGGACTTATTTCGCAACCAACCTGGATTAGCGGGGTTGTTTACTGCTTCATTATCAAGTGCTGCATTCAGCACTCTGTCGTCATGTCTAAGTAGTCTTTCAGCGGTCACATATGAAGACATCATCAAAGTCAACTTTCCACAAATGAAGCCACTTAAAGCAACAAGAATATCAAAAACAATTGTGTTACTTTACGGCATCTTGTCGATGGTAATATCATTTGCAATATTACACATTCCTGGATCTATATCTGTCATCTTCAATAGTTTCATGGGTTGTATGGACGGGCCTCTGTGCGCAATCTTTTTGATGTCATTGCTATGCCGGAGGGCAACAACAAAGGGTATGTCTATTGGTCTAATACTTGGATGTGCTCTTGTCTTTTGGATAAATGTAGGCGGAAATTTTACTAAATTAGACCCGTATCCATATCTACCACCAGGTCCAACAGACCAATGTCATATATATCAAAACAAATTAGCGGTTTATCCAAGTACATCAAACAATGATGTTTTCAACACTAGCATTACTTCCCAACTGGCTACCATGACTCGAGGTGAAGTTACCACCACTACGGGCACTTTAAGGAATCCATCATCATTGCAAAAGTTTTATAGTATATCGTACATTCTTTACTCATTGATTGGGTTTTTATCAACAACATTCATCGGATATGCTATCAGTTTATGTACAGAAAAACAAGCGGATCTAGATGAGAGATGTATTTTCTCATTTAAAAAACATGTTATGGACAAGTTCTTTGTCAGTAAGAAAAATAGTGGTGCACATCTTCAATGTGACACAGCAACGAGTGAAGAAGAATCAAAATTTTTGTAAAACACTGTTTAAATGGTGTTTGACCAACAGTTGATATTGAAAAATGTTCAGGATAAAATTATAAATGTGCCTATAATATAAAAAGACTGTCCCACTCTTTTAATAAACTGGACGTTATAGGTAAATTCTAATAGATATTTACAGAAATTTTATTTGGATCTGTGCATTATTTATTGTAAATTATTAAATAAAAAGAATTATGACAAAATGAAAACTTATTTTGATATTCATTTGTTCACCCTTGGATGGGCATAATGTCACTTAATACACAATATAAAAAAACATATTTATCCTATGACATACTATTTGTTTTAGTCAATGATAGCTGATATATGTCTTATTTTTGCATTATATTAATAAAAGTTTGTAAATGGGAAATGTTTGTAAAATATCTTCTTTTACGTTTATAATTAATGATGCATGTCCATATAAAAAGTGTTGTTGATAAAGGAATATAGGTTTTTAATTTCTTTTATCCTTTTCCCTGATATTCGGTACTTGTTATAAACCGTATATATTTTAATTTGAGGCAACGAGGAATAGAGAAGAACGTTTCAAATGAGATAGTTACTTAATGTAAGATAGGAGCGGGAGGTCAACGTAACAGGAATAAGAATATATATTCAAACGATATATGTAATAGAATGATATTAAGATAAAAATAGACATGTCTAAAATACATCTACATCTAATTTGATTAAACAATTTCAAGTTCTCCGACACTTGAAATCAAATTAACGACTTCTAAATTTTCTGAAATAAGTGCAATGCAACTTATAATTTTGGAAATTTTGCTGTTCTCAAGTGACATAATTATGCTTTTGATTTTTTTTATTTCTATTGATGTGCTGTCTTGTTAAATTACTAAAGGGTACAATGCGTCGCTAATAACATATCGCATTTTGTAATCATGAACCGGTCTTTTGTCACTCAATCTTTGTGTTTTTTCTACTGCGTTGCAATCAATCTTTTTCGTAATCGGAATACGACAATATACTATGGCAAGTTTATTTCTTACATTGTTTCATATAGACAAACGAAAAGCCCACTAAAAAGTACACTATCGATACACTTTACAAATTTATAGCTTATTATTAATATTCTTAATTTAAAATCGGATAGTCACTTATAAAACTCCGAAATAATGCATTATGCTTAAGTCTAGGCCGTTGCATTATCAAATAATATCATAGATCATCAATTCTTACATTCTGCTAAAACCAAGTTTATCAATAAAAAAAATAATTTTTGCAACTGATGAAAGTGGCGCTGGACATGCAGTCATGGGTCATAAAGGTAGCAAAGTGTAAACAAAGCAGTATTTCGACTATAATTATAACAGTTGCCAAAATAGCCAAGGATGAAAAAATAGTTCGTCTACATTGCAAATGATTTTTTCAGACAACACATCAAGGATCAAACGATCACAATTTGGATTTCTCGAGACTTTTCAATAAGCTAATTATAATCAAAGTCTACCTTTGCGTTCTTGAAACTATCATTTGCCATTGCGGAAAATGGAACATGTACATGTACGTGATTTTCACGATTAAAGGGTATTAAGGTTAAACGAAAATGGCGGCGCCCCTGCATCTTAGAAAAATAACAATGAATCATTGCTAAAATGCCTATCATAATAAAATATAATATCCCGCAGAGATTATTTTTGAAAGATCTACTGAAATGTTTTTATAATGCAAAATAACTGACTTTCCTGACTTAATTGTATATTAAAATGATACTCTTTAAACTTTAATCTGATTGAATCCAACAAATAAAATATTATTTATACTGCAATATGTGGTATACATGACATCTACACGAAAGTGTAATAATGCCTAAAACACAATCAATATTTCGCTGGTTGTAATTTAAAATTGGTAAAATCTTTAAGAACAAATAGACCTAACAACAAAGAAGTCAGAATTTGCGATATTATTTATTGTTTAATTGGCATTTCCTGTTTAAATTGACATTTTTCAGTTTGCCGCTGTCAAGTATAAAAACAATAGTATGTTTATCCCCCCGCTTAACGCTACATGTATTATATAACAAAGAAATAAAACGTGTCTCTTTACTAACTAACTAACTAACTAACTAACTAACTAACTAACTAACTAACTAACTAACTAACTAACTAACTAACTAACTAACTAACTAACTAACTAACTAACTAACTAACGAACGAACGAACGAACGAACGAACGAGCGAACGAACGAACGAACGAACGAACGAACAAACGAACCAACCAACCAACTAACCTTATAAGCATACTTTAAAATAATTTAGATGCTGTAAAATTAATCATTTATTATGGTGAAAATTTAGAAATTATTGAAGAGTAGATGGATTTCGTCAGCATGAGGTCTATTAGAAAGTATCATGAATAAAGTAATATTGTAAATGAACAAAAAAGTTTTACTGTTTCCTAGTTACTGTAGTTCAAAAGCGCAGAAAATTGTTACCTTGAACGGCTTTCAGCGTTATTCATTCCTGCCGATAAATAGCTGTAAATGTTTTCAATTAAAAAAAAGGGAACGGCTGATGACGTTACTAAAATCTTGATGACACTCAAACTTAAATACCCTTTAACTTTAAGAGAAAATGTTGACGTTAACAAATCGTATGATAAAAGGATTTATTATCATGAGAAAATATGTTTTTGTGATTTAAAAATAAAAACGCCGCATCTCATCGAATAGTGTGGTTATTTTCAGTCAAAATTCACATGAAGTAAAGCTTGCACAGGGCCAGAAATTTGTTAGCATGCTCCATTGGATGTTGACTATGAATCCATAATAATTATTTACTCGAACACAGTTGGACATTTTAAATATAGATGAATACTTACCGTCCCTGCGCCGACATAGATGTACTGGTACAGCTGTCGACGCTTGAACTGCTGTCTGTCCATTTGATTGTACGGTGTGTTTAATAAAATACTCTGTAGTACTGTAGTGCCAACTGGTCGCGCTAATTGCCAGATAATAAATACCTACCATTCATTTGAATTTACACGGCGAGACTTATATGAAATGATAATAATTTCTGTTTCAGTATGGAGCTACTTTTCTGAAACTTCATAGATACATATTTATATATACATAATATGTATATTATATATAAATCATTGAGTCAAAGAACCGTAGATTCTTTTTCGTAACTTTGAAAATATTGTCCTTTGTATTTTTGCATACTAGATCGTAACTAGACTAGTACCACGTGACTAAGAATTTTGTACTGTTACATAGGTAACAGTACTTTTAACAGTATAAAATCTGGTCACGTGGTCTATTTTCTAAATAAAATGATATAAAATGGCCGCCATTTCTTTCTCGATTCATTCTTATTTTCGACGATAAGGCATCGCCGAAGTAACTATTACTCTCATAAAATTTAGTTCTCTGCACCCTTTCGCGTATAAAGTATCTTTTTGTTGAATAGTCAAAAGGAAACATCTGTTTTCAACGGAAGTAATTGTAATGTGAAAAAATTTGTGTCAAACTGGAACATGCAGACGATTAAAGCATGCAACAAAGGATTATTTAACAATTTTAACCAGTGAAACGTTACAGATAGAGTTGGTGGACATCTGTAGGATATCATCGTTATTTTCTAAATGCACTTTGTCAAAAACCATGCGAAGAATATTCTGGATGCAGACGGATCAGATTTCACAGATCATAACCTTATAAATGGGTTAGTGTTTTGTTTTCTAAACAAAACACGGCTTATTTTATGTTTATGACTGGTAGATATCATCACTTGCCTAAAGAATAAAAGGAAAACAGCTCTCAAGTAGACCTACAGTACACTTAACACTTGCAAGGTAAGGACAGTTTAGTTATTGCTTCTCTTGGTTTATTTTTGTTACAGTTAGATTTAGATGACAAATTTAGATCATCACAGTATTTGTTCTGGGTAATAAAATAAATAACACATGGATTTGTGGGTAACAGTAAAAATATCATCCCTCGTATAAATACTGTTACCCTCGGCTACGCCTCGGGTAACGGTATTTTCCTCGGAATGATATTATTACTGTTACCCACAAACCCATGTGTTATTTATATATTGCCCTTTGTCATTTGTCATCGGAAGAGTACCTCAGAAACTATTGCTGGTATTCGCTTAAAACAACATACATGCATAGGAATCTTAGAAGGGAAATATTTACGAACATAACTCTTTTTTTTGTATTTTAGTAGAGATTACCTTATGACATGTTTCTCTGATTGATATAAAAAGTTTTATTTAAAATGCTTATACATAGATCTATCTTGTTTCAAAAAGGTATCCCTATTTTGATCTTACTGTTACATTTAGCTAACATTTAAAAAACTTACAGTTAATTATACAACAAACTAGTAGCCTGATTTATCGGTGTTAGCTGCTAAAGTCATACTGACAGCCTGAACATCAATTGATTCTAGTCCTTATCTTTGTGACGACACGAAACGATAATCTCCTTGATGTCATTAACATTAGATATCAAGATTGTCTACCATGGACAATAAATCAAATTTATTACAAGTTATACATTTAACGTAGTTAAAGTTGGTATATAAAGATAACATCTTATTATCATTATCAGGTTTAATATAAATGACACTTGTCCATGTGAAAAAAGTTATTTAGGCGAAAAGTTCAACATTACAATTTAGATTTTACGACAGAAGTTCATGTATTAAAAGGTATGTAAGGTTTTAGAAATTAGCAACTTGTCATTAAAATACTGATATTTACTGTAGAGAATAAAATATGTTTCTTTTTTCTTCAATAAAAATCACCAATGCATAAATCGGATAATATTTAAACACGACAGCCTCATAAAGTTACTGTCATGTTCAAAAGTAATATGCAATAGATCGAATATCACGATAAACAATTTATTACGCCATGCTTTTAACTTTTAAGTGGCAAGTTTACTTCAATTTGTATAATGTTAATACCGCTGTATCAATATAAGATTAATACGAATTTGATTTCCGAGTCTCCTTGTTTATGAAAAAAATAAAGTTTGATTATTATCATGGCTTTAATGAATATCCGGCTAATTGCTTTCTTTGCTCTTCTCTGACAAATCATAAGTAAAGTCTCATACTGTCATGGATTGTTTTTAATACCTTCTTAAACATGATCTTGCGTTTTAAAAAAACAGCATACGGAGGATTTTCATTTTTAATTATAAATACAGGATTTATTTTCTTTATTTTCATTGTATGGTATGAAAATAATTATTACCGCTACGAGTGAAATATGATAAATTTCATACTACAAGATGAAAATAAACCTTGGATGTTCTGTTAATTATATATATTT